TTTGTTTTCATTTGGGCGAATTCCGAATGAGAGCACCTTTCTTTAAATAAGACAGTGACATACTCCCTCCATCTCCATCAATTATGTCACTCAATTCCTCTTTACTTTTGTGGAAAAATCCAATCGTTCAAATGCATTTCTTACCCTGTCTTCTACAACCTCACTAGTTGTAAGAGATGAACCAGGAAAAGCATTCGAGCCCGACTCTGAAACTCCTTTTCTGTTTTCGGTATTTGTTCTGTGTTATTTTTTCCAGCCACTCTTTCGGAATAAATAGCATCTCAGGTTGTTTCATAAGTAAAGAAACCAATGAAAATTGAAATTATTTAGCTGGATCACTAAACTGGGTATTTGAAAACAGAACTCATTGATCGATCCCTAACTAGGGAGATACGAAAATGTAAAGAAGCTAAGAGAAACAACAAATCATTCACTGGCCATAAAAACAAACACATTATTCGCTTATTCGGTGTCCTCATTTTATGGCAGCAAGGCGATTGACGAATATGCCGAATGCTTCATCAGTGTCGACCATACTGATCCTGACCACCTTTTGATCAGCTCCGAACTTAGTCCCGCTGCGGGTTATGATCTTGTTCGCACGCAAGAAGCTCTCTAGGTCTTCCACTTCTTGCTTCTGACAGCGCAGCCATGCGAATGCTGCAATCCAGAAGCATTATTTTAGAAAATGCAACTGAATCAAGAAAAAATAGGTCATACTAGATTGGATCATTTTATCTTTGTAAGGTTAAGGTAGACTGTGTAATGTGCGTACCAGGATTAGAGGTGACGGTGTCCTTGGTGAAGGCGCAGAAGCCGGCCACCTCGTCGGGGAGGCTGAAGATGCCGGAGGCTGCTACGGCAGCACGGAGTGCACGCCAGCGCTGTGCCATCTTCTGCCGCGCGTAATGGAAGAGGAGGTTCGCGTCCCCACCGGCAGCGGTGGCAAGCTGGTGCTCGTAGCCGTCTGTGACCGCCCCGAGTACCTTGGCGGCGCGTAGCTGCGCGTCCTTGGACACGCCTATGGTGCTTTGCTCCATGAACTTGCTCATCTTCTGTGCCACCTCCTTGTCCTTCACCAAGGCCCACCTGCATACAATGCAAGCAACCATAAAAACAACAAGCTAAGCTTAACATCTATGAAGTAAATACATGTTATCATGGATCCATTCATTGTAAGTTGTGATGTGATTACCCTATCCTCGTGCCGGCGTGGCCCGTACACTTTGACACGGTGAAGAGCATGATGTCATGCGCGAGCATGCGGGTGATGGGAGTGTACTGCGGCCAGTAGTAAGCCAGGTCGTGTATGTCCTTGCCGGACTTGGACTTGAGGACGGCCTCGCGGATGCTGCCGTCGGGGTTGCTCGGTGAGCAGATGACCTCAATGTAGTCGTCGCCGTCAAATGCGTTGGCGTCGCCGGCCCATCGGTAGAGCCGTGAGTTGAGGAAGTCCGTCAAGGGCGGGTACATCTGCACAAGATCGAGCATACCACATAGCGATCTACCTTCTCTCACAGTAAAAAATATCGATCAATTATTTTCTTCACAAAATAAACTAATGCTTACAGAGTAGAAAGGGGTAGTTGATACGACGCTGACGGGCGCGTCGGCAGTGGGCGGGGCGAGCGCGTAGAGTGCGGCCTGGAAGAGCTGAGACGATCCGGTGCCGACGAGGACGTGGTAGCCCTCGATGGCGGCATTGCCGACGAGGCGGTGGAGGCGGCGCACCTCACGCTCGAAGCCTGGCTCGAGGAACCAGCAAAGGTTGCCGACGTCAGAGAAGTAACTCATCGTCTGATACCCTGGAATCACCAGCGTAGCGCTTTCGCCAATCGGTCCGCGCCAAAACGTCTCAAACATCGTTGGATCACCGCTGCAAACAACAACATTATTATCATATATAGAAAAATCAAATGTGCACGGTACAAAGTTTGGTAGGGGGAGACCAAAAGATAACACAAACCATAGCTTTTGATGCAGTAATAATTAGGGTACTTGGTGTTAGATTATACTTCTATACAAACAAAGCTGCCTAAAACACATGCTGAGTTCATAAAAGAAGATGGTAAAATTTGCACGATAATTTGCCACGTTTCTGTCATGGTAAAATCGTCTTGGTAAATGCTAATTTGCCACGTTTCTGTCATGCTGAGTTCATAAAAGGAGTACATGGCACTTGTATTTTTTTCTTTCCACTAGTATATGCATACATTTTTAGATGCATATGCATGTTTCTGTCATGGTAAAATCGTCTTAGTAAATACATGACACATGGCTTTGTATTTTTTTCTTTCCACTAGTAAATGCGTACATTTTAGATGCAAATGCATGTTAATCGTATAGAAATATGAGGTACTGGGATACTAAGCAACTTTGGACTTTGGACTTTGGTCATGAACTATTTGTTGTATTGAAGTTTAATTATTTGTTTGAGTTGTAATAATAATTGAACTATTTTTTGTCGATTTGTTTTGTGTGTCATGGTTATGACACTTCTATGATGATAATTGTGACAGAAACACATATCATCATAGATGTGGCGGGCTCCTACTTCTGTGACAACATTATTTTTGCAACAGTCGTGTCACTATTTAATACCGACCCCGTCCGTATAATGTTGTACTCCATCCGTACCAAATTACTTGTCTTAGATTTGAATAGACATGGATGCATCTGGACACATTTATAGATACACCCGTATCAAGAGATGGAGATTGTACCAAGTCAGCGACACTTATTGCATATTGCATACTAAACACATACCATTTGGATTGTCCTGATTTGATGACCAAGATTATTCGATTATGCCCCTTTTCGTCTTTATATATATATATATATATATATATATATATATATATATATATATGGATGGATCAGTAGTGTTAGAGGAAAAGTATCTTTTGTCAAGAAGAAAGGAGAGGGGAAACGCACATATACCTAACTAACTCATGCGTGACCTGTAACTGCATATAAAAATCAGCTACCCGGACCCAACAAAGCCCTACGCTGGATACGTAGTCTCGTCATCTTGGCGACGTAAAGTATCAGGTAGACATGCATGTGTCACGTCACGTAAAGTACCACGTAGACAGGCATGGATCACGTCACGTATATGTACGCGTGGACGTTCTCCACCGGAGGATTAATTATTGCAGCTGTGAAAAACCAAGAGACGATGAATATGAGGTGAAATTCGTACTGGTCCAAATTGATGACCGAGTCACACGCGACGGGAGGCTTGCCAGACGACGGCGCCACAGCCGCCGCCTTCTTCACCTTCTTGCTGGCCTGCTTCTCGGCGGCGGCGCGGCCACGGAGGTAGATCGCCAGCGCCACGATGTTCAGCACGACGGACCCGAGCACGCCGATCCGCCCGGCAATCGCCGCCAGCCCGTCGCCATTATCCCTCGCCATCGCCGTAAATCCAAGTACTGAGAGCCCACAAGTGCTATATATAGATCGATGGGATTGGGAGATATCCCCTGGGAGGGTTTATATGGAAGAAGATGTGGGATGATTCTAGATGGCTAAATAAGAAGGTGAGGGGCCGGTAAAAATAATGGCAGGCGAGAGGCGCTCTCCCCGCCCGGCTAGCTAGGTGTGGGTGGGATGGGTAACGCATGCACCGGAATCGCGGGAAAGTGCATGGTCAAAGTGTACAGTTTGTTGCGGTTACGATGGATGCATGCAAGTAAGATCGATCTTGTGTGCGGGCTCGATGTGCCGAAAGATCCAACTAGGAAGATTGCTTACGTGATTGTTTGGATAAAAAATGTAAGCGTTTAGTTTTAGTTAAACACATTTTAGAGAGATTTTTTTAGCAAAGCCATTTTTGCTAACAATTCCGTTAGGGATAAGTATATGGAAAATCTTTATTGGATAAGATAATGATAAAACAAGTTTAAGAAATTATTTTTTTGGAAGTCCGTTCGACCATGCTTTTCTCTCACAACAAGCCCTGCCTGCTGCTTTGCTGTTGGGCCACCGTGCAACTCCCCTTTCTCCCCTCGCCCCCATCCTGCAGATACCGTGTCTAGCACCTGCTGTGCATGGCCGCTCCGCTTGGCCACAAGCGTCGCCGCTCTTCCAACCCCAGCAAGTAGCTCCACACCTTCACCATGGACATCCTTCCACTGCCATTTTTGCCGTTTCCCGGCATTCTCCTCCAACCCCGGCGAGTAGCTCCACGCCTCCTCCACGGACACCATGGCGGCTCTTTCGTAAAGTCCTTCTGTGTGCACCATGTGAAGCCGAGTCGTCGCACGGAGCAGGCAACCAACGGTAGCGGCATGCAAGGAGATCACGCTGAGTCTATTGCTCGAGCGTGTGGACTAGCTATTTGTGCGGCTGTACCTGCGTGCTATTGCGGCCGAGTCATGTGGCTCTTGAAAAGGCCATGCAAAGCGCATGATTTGTGCTTGTATCTAGCCGGCCGTGAGTTAGTGGCCGGTTGCGGGCCATACGTGCATGCAATTAGTGGTTAGTGGTTAGTTCGTGCGATGCGTGGGCCGGCGTGGCCGGTAAGGATGACAATTTTACCTAAATATATGGTTGAGGTGGTTAGGTAGACAGTGGTATCCCCAACCTATTAGGGTTCAAATCCTGGTGCTCGTATTATTCCTGGATTTATTTCAGGATTTCCGGCGATGCGCTTTTAGTGGAAGGAGACGTTTCCGTCGACGACGAGGTGCCTACTGTGACTTCGTAAATCTTAAAATGATGTGCCGACTTAGTCTTTTGGAGGTGCTCATAGGGGTAGGGTGTATGTGTGTGCGTTCATAGGGGTGAGTGTATGCGCGTGTATATGAGCGCTTGTGTCTGTACTGATACTAAAAAAACCTATGGATATAGATACCCATAGATATTCGAACCAAATGGATAGGGTTTGGATATGCTTTTGTGCCCATGGGCGGCATCCGAATCCGATCAATTACTCGTGGGTAGGGCAGGGATATAATCTTGTACCCGTGGGTATACCCAAACCCGACCCGATAGTATGACTTAATGGACAAAAATCTATTATCCCTACCCCACAGTCACATGTTCCATTGCAATTTTACACTTTGTTATCTAAAACATGCAAAACGAGTGGCATAATCGCTCTATGACTTTTATTACTTGAAATTAAATCCCCACTGTAACATACTCCAGCGCCCCTTCCTTTATTTTTATCTCCTCGTTAAATGACTCGTCATTCTCATCTTTTAGAAAAATATTAAATGATATTAGGTTGTTAGTGGACGTTGATTTATAGTTAATGCTTATCGTAAGTGAAGCCTAACCTGCCACGAGGCACAGAATGGAAGAGCTTATATTAACATTGTGTTATGTCTTACTTACATGTCCTGAGAGGGCCCAATAGATATCCAGTGGTTATGGATATCCATCGGGTTTGGACATGGACACAAATTTTCATCTATTGATTTTTTTCATGGACGGGCAAAAGCTGTCTTCATGGATATGGATTTGGTATTGTCCAACCTAATCCAAACCCGACCCATTGCCATAGTGGCTGGCCGATGTATGTGCACGACCTACTACTTAAAAGATGTAAAGGGTCCGTTACCAAGAGAGGAGCCTCTCGAGAGATGTAGTCTCTAGGTGCGTGTGTGCGTTCATCATGAGGAGTGGTAGCCGGAGCTAGTCTTTAGGGCATGTAGTCTTCCATGTATGATCCCGTGTGGTATGTGCCACTGCGTTGAGTTTGTGCTCGAAAGGAAAAGAAAGTGTCGTTCGTGTGGCGTGATGTTGTTCGTGCGGTGAGGCGTTTGTGCACCGGAAAAACTAGTGTGCTCCTTCCACCTCCGTCTGAGTGAATGAGAGAGAGAGAGAGAGCTATCCGGTTCGTCCCAACACATCATCTATTCGACCTAGCTAACTGCCCAACCCCTCAATTGCAGGAGAAATCCAGTCCGGTGAGCTCCCTCCGCCACCGCCTCCTGGCTCTGTCGAGAGCGCTCCCATGGTGGCCGGCTAGAGTGTTGTAGCTTAGCCGGCAAGCGGCAACCAACAACGTTGGTATGAACGTGTTTGACCTGGTAGAGACACGTATAATCTGATCGCGGTGGTCGGTGGAGATGAGGATGGCAACGACGAGGTCTCGAGGAATTCTTATCGAGCACAAGGGGCTTCAAACTATGGATACGCTGAATCGGTTTGTAGGAAAACGTTGAATAGTCATTTTTCTGGGCCTGGCTAGATCTCAATCGACTTAGACTTCGCAAAGTCGCAGTCGACGGGTGATCCGCTGATGTCACCTAAGGCAGATTAGACTTGTTTGTTTAGTCGATAGCTCTTGGGTTTTATTCTTAAGGGCCTTTTCATTTTTCTGTTTTTTGTTTGTTTGGGTTGGGCTGTTTGTTTCTTTGTCTTTGTGTTTTCTTGGCACTGGAAAAAAATGTTCAACAAGAGAAGTAAATAAAAAAAAATTGTCACTAATGTAGATCATCGTTCAGTCTTTCTCTTCATACGTCATCTTGCTTCTCTTTTTATTTTTCATTTTTATAACTTCTTTCATGAAAACATTTTGTATATTAGGACAAAAATCAATCTTTAATGTAATAAAGAAACAAAATGGAAACAAGACAAACTAAAATAGGGTGGCACTATTTTTCCAAAGAAAAATATATTAAGTTGCATACAAATGGAGGGCATGCGAATGTGTGCATCCGACGTTGGTTGCGTTGTTTTTCTTAACAAATCAAAAGAAACAAAAAAACACAGCCGTAAAAAAATAAAAGAAAAAAGAAAGTACCCCACCCCCCAAGACATGGAACTACCCCACCCACCTCTCCCGTCGTCCTCTAACAAAACATAAGACCAATTGTGGTCGGGAGGGAGACACGTAGTTGCATTCGGGGGCACCACTCGCAGTTGCATGCCTAGTATTGGACACACAACTGCACCCCCACCCATCTCCCCCACCACTCTTACAAAAACAAAGGTTAGTTGTAGTAACGCTCTATGGACATGTAGTTGCATTAGGTGGCGACACTTGCAGTTGCAAAGCCTAGTGTCGAACAGGCAACTACCCCCTCTCCCGACACCCACTTAAAAAACAAAAATGCCAGTTGCATTGGGTGTGTAGGTGAAATGATCGAGAAGAAGTGTCTAGAGGGGTGAATAGACTCTTAGCAATAAAAGTTGCAGTTTTTAATTTCTTTAAATTGAAGTGGAGTTTTGGCACAAGTTTAACCATTCACAATACTTATCAAGCAAGCATGACAAGAGTATATGAGTAGCAAAAAGTAAATCATGCAAGTTGCAAGAATGTAGAGGGATGGGATTGGAGTGTGCAAACGCAATTGGAGACATGGATATTTTTGGCGTGGTTCCGATAGGTGGTGCTATCGTACGTCCACGTTGATGGAGACTTTAACCCACGAAGGGTAACGGTTGCGTGAGTCCACGGAGGGCTCCACCCACGAAGGTTCCATGAAGAAGCAACCTTGTCTATCCCACCATGGCCGTCGCCCACAAAGGACTTGCCTCATTAGGGTAGATCTTCACGAAGTAGGCGATCTCCTTGCCCGTACAAACTGCTTGGTTCAACTCCACAATCTTGACGGAGGCTCCCAAGTGACACCTAACCAATCTAGGAGACACACTTTCCAAGAGGTAACAAATGGTATGTTGATGATGAACTCCTTGCTCTTGTGCTTCAAATGATAGTCTCCCCAATACTCAACTCTCTCTCATAGGATTGGATTTGGTAGAAAGATGATTTGAGTGGAAAGCAACTTGGGGAAGGCTAGAGATCAAGATTTATGTGGTTGGAATGGAATATCTTGACCTCAACACAAGTGTAGGTGGTTCTCTCTCAGAAAATGTATGTTGGAAGTGTAGGCATGTTCTGATGGCTCTCTCTCCACAAATGAAGAGTGGGTGGAGGGGTATATATAGCCTCCACACAAAATCTAATAGTTACACACAATTTACCAAACTCGGTGGGACCGAATCATACAACTTGGTCAGACCGATTTGGTTCATAATGTGACCGTTAGGCATTTCGGTGGGACCGACATGATCAACTCGGTGGGACCGATGTGCTAGGGTTAGGGTAAAACCTCATCTCGGTTGGACCGATTACACAAACTCGGTGGGACCGATTTTGGTAATAAGCCAAACAGAGAGTTGGCCAAGCAAACTCGGTGGGGCCGATTTCATATCTCGGTGAGACTGAAATTAATGCAATAGGCAACAGAGAGTTTGCAAGCCCATCTTGGTGAGACCGAGATCCCATCGGTGAGACCGAATTGATTAGGATTTCTAGCAGTGGCTATGTCAAGAGAACTCGGTGGCGCCGGATAGAAAATTTCGGTGGGGTCGAGTTTGACTTTTGGTTTGGGACATATTTGGATGTGATAAAGTAGTTGAGGGTTGTGGAGCATATCACTAAGCACTTTGGGAGAGAA